GTCTTTTGTCTGACCATCTAACTTTTGGAGGGTTAATTTTAGGTTTTGGTAGTTGTGAAGATTCAGTGAAAAAAAGTTAGATTTGATTTTTTTTTTTTGTTCTGTGGCAAGTTAACTTACTCTTTGGACAATCTCATCTACCCAAAAACTTAACCAGTTTTGACTTTCCGATTAATTATTGTTTCCTGTGGAAATAAGAACTCGATTATTTGATTGAATCAACAATTTAAAGCATTTTAATCATATTTCCAAACGCCAAACGCCAAAATTGTTTTCAAGAAACTAAAAATGATTTAAATTACCAAAAAAGTGATCTGTTTTGCAATCTTTGTTTCTCATGTATACACAAAGGCATGAATTGCAATCAAACAATTAAGACCAAAATAGAAAGAACGACAGTTTCGTGCATTGAGATAATTTGTGATTTTAGAGCTTATAATGAAAGCCAACTTTGATCACAAACAGGTTGATTTAGCCCAAATTGGTACTGGTTAAACTGGTGAGAGACCGGGAAATAGCCAGAATGAGTGAATGACAATAAGGATATGATAAAACATTACATTAACCAGTTCACATGAATATGGAATTGCAATGTGAGCTCAAGAGTCTAAACTCAATATGAGAGATCAGTTCCATGGGAGCAAAAGAGCAAACCAAAACCCATTTGTTCTTAAACTCGTTAAAACAGAGATCAAGAAATATCAATTGTTTAGGGTTACGGTACCCTGAAGTTTATAGATATATAAGCAGATGTTTTCCAAGTGTTCTGTATATCATATGCACAAAACAAACGCAGCAAAACTTGATTACTTTTTAGCGGTTGTTACTCCTACCACGACATTGCTCACCTGCAAGTGTTTTTTATATCACTCATTAGCGATCATTTCGAAAGAAAAAACGATAACAATTATACTCGATACTCACCAATTTTCCACTTTCGTCCATGGACATGGGATTCTCTACAACAACGGTTTGAGTCTGAGAAGATAATGAACAGAGTAAGTCCTGTTTTAAGGTCTTTTCAATTTGATTCTACGATATGAATAAAGCTGAGTCTGTGATTGGTATAACTCACAGTTGATGTAGAGGGCATTGTTGGTGGAGGAGGAACAGTTTCATTAGGCCGGTTCATCGCGTGAGGAACCCTTCCATTGCTCATCTACAGAGAAAGAGTAAAATCAAAATACCAAGCTTGATTAAATGATCTTCAAAATCAATGAGATACCGAGAATAAATATTCATGCAAAGAATACTCACATTGACATTAGTAATATATTGGCAAACAACGCATTTAACAGATGGTGATCCATAAGGATACATGAGCGTCGTTCTACAACGCCCACAAGTGATATGCGCGGTCTGATTATTGATTTGAGCGGTCTGATTCGAAGGTGGTGCTGCGTTCGGGACTAAACAGAAGAAAAGTTTCAGCCAATGAGATTGTAAACCAAAACAGCCACACTTCGATACTATTAACCGTTTTAGACTCAAACAAGAATGTAAAGCAAGCCACAATCTCAAGAGAACAAAGCTGATCAAACACAAATGACCTTTTCAACAATCCTGAGGAAATTCATTGAGATTTTCGCGATGAGTTTATTTTACCTGATACATTGTTCAACGTCTGACAACAAGAACATCTAACGCTCCTCGCATCACCACGTGTATACATAAGCATAGTTTGACAACCACCACATCTAATGTAAGCCATGTCCATTCCTACACCAAAGTTAATCAAGAAACCCTTACATAAATCCATAAGATAACGGTTATAAAACTCAAACGCCGAACATTAGATCGATTCGAGGGCTTTATTCGATACTACAAAGCCTCACTAAAACCTCACAAAATTCAGTGAAACCTCAAAGGATAAGATATACCTAGAGGGTTATAAGAATGAACGGAATTGATGGTGTTACACAAAGCACAACACACATCTGTTGCTCCTCGACGATACATTAACCTATTTCTACATCCATGACATACCAACTGGTCCTGCATTTCTCTGCTTCAAAAACCAAACAACAACACAATTGCTTCAAAAAATCTTTCTTTTACAACTTTGCAATCCAAAAACCCTAATCTTTCTACTCTTAATCCAATTCTATATATGCATGTGCCAGTGTCAATTAGAGAAGAAACAAACCCAGAAACTCTCACCTGATAAAGTCTATTAAAAAGGAACCTTTTTTGAATCGAATTCGAAATTCGGACCCAGAAACTTCTGCAATCGAATTTCAAATCAAATCCAAATTGGTAAAACAAATAAACCGAAAAGTCACAAATTCGCAGATAAATTGGAGGAAAAATAAGTGTTCTTGATCATACGGATTGGAGATTGATGCGAACCCAAAACTATCGTAACTTAACTTACAAAGTAAACCACAAATTTTTTGGGAAATTGACAAGGGAAAAGAAGAACAGAGTTGAATTTGCCTTCTCTTGTTTTGTCTCTCCTCAAAATGATCTCACATTTTTCTTATTGATTTTGATTAATTGAGTCACTTTCAGGGTTTTTTGGTTAAAAGGTCAAAAGCGTGGGGATGACTCTATTTGCGGTGTCAAAACGCGCTTTTGAATCGGCTTCTGGATCTCTTCAGTTCTCTGCGTTCTAATCGCGGTTGCGTTTTCAAGTCGCTCCTTTTCCCTTCTGCCCATTTATAGAATACTAGAGATACGCGGGTATGAACATTAAAAGTTACTAATATAAATATTGAGTTTTAATTAGTAACTTGTTCAATTACTAAAATATTTTTAAAATTATTTAAGCACATATCTTAAAACAATATATACAAAATTTTATCTTAATTATGTTTTAATTCATATCATGAGGATCCTA